ACGAGCACCAGCTGGGGTTTGTTTACTACTACAGCTGCTGTCCGGCCAGTGCTGGAGTAAATAGCATGCATCCATCATGCACAGGGGCTGTCTGGTCCTAACCCCTTTTCAACTGGAGGCATCTGCTACCAGCCAATGGGAGGCAGAGGAGGGCGGGGCCAATGCCATCACCATAGTAATTTTTGCAGCTGGCCTCACGTGCCAAGCTGTGTCAAACCAGTTCTGTTGACTCAAGCTGCTGATGTTGTTTCGTGACGTAGTGAGCAGCGCGGGAGGACAAACTACTTTTCTAACACAAAATTAAAACGTTGATTTTAAATTTCCCACTTAAAAGATCAGTGTGTAGGATTTAGTGGCATCTAGTGGTTAATGCTTCAGATGGCAGCTAACTGAACACTACTCGCGTCTGTATTTGACGACCAGGGACTGAGAACGGGCTGTGTGTAGTGAAGAAACTACGGTGGCTTCTAAATGTGCAAAAAAAACCGCGAAATTTAGAGCCAGTGTTAGGTTTGTCTGTACTGGGTTAATGTAGAAACATGGCAGTTTAACATGGCCCTACATAAAAGGCGACCCATGGTCCGACCCAAACAGCTCATTATAGGGCAGTAGTTTACAACCTGTGGGTTGGGACCCCGACTAGAGGTCACCCAAGCTTCACGGGGGATGCAAAACTTCTTGAATTTAAGGGGTGTAACAAAACTAAAAAATTTTGTATTCAATTATTTTACAGTTTAGAATATTATTTAAGCTCCAAACTATGAAGACCTGAACACAAGCTATATATAAGAGCCTTCACTCTCTGAAGTTAAAACAAAATAAGAGCTTAACAATGAGAAGAAAACAAAATAATTTTTCAAAAAAGAAGCCAAAAATGAGCCAGAACTCACCTCTGATCAATATTCACAGGAAATAATCTGCTCAAAATTAATCAAAATCACTTGTTTTACACAAACTTCCAGCAGTTATTGTGTTTATTATTTGGGCTCATTGTACAGTTTATCAGCTGTTCTCTGCTGGTATTGTTATACATTGATTGGTCGATTCTGTAGTCCGTCCGTCATTTACAATGCAAAAGTTCGGCGCTAATGCAGGAAGTGGGGGTTGAACTTTAGGCAGAATGTGGTTGTAACACAAACCGGATACGAAGTGTAACCCTGAGATTCCACTGGGCACGGCTTTATAATGTGGCACCTGCATCAATCTAACCAAGATTCTCTTTGCCGTTTCTGTGTCTGACTTCCTGCCAGTGCGATCTGCTCTGTGTTGCTTGGCTTGGGTCGCGACTTCTGCCAAAAATAGATCAGAAGCGTATTCTACGCAGAGCAGGTGGAATTGGTGGGTAAGGCCCATAGCTGGACGTTCAGACATTTTAGAACCACAGACTTATCTTATATATCTTTGACTTTCTATTGAAGAACCACTTATCTTCTAACATTTGTCGACCTTTTGCACTGATGATTCAACCAGCAGTTGGTCACCGAACATCGTCAATGCAAAAAATATATGGGAGTTTTATATCGGATCCATGAACTTCGCTTTTACACATTTTAATGGACCAGAACTTGACGTCTTTATCTTTTTTCATTTTAGGTCATGAAGTGAATGTTGCAGTGACAGTTTATCCAATGATTGAGGCCAGCACTCCGACCATGTTGGACAGAACTGAACCAGCACACTGCACCGTGTGCTGCTGTACGCTGGCCAACAAAATCCTCATGGTGCTCTTCATGGTGCTGCTCATCTTTGCCATCTTGTTTGGGAACTTGGTGACTCTGGCTGTGATTCTAGGGACTAAACACTTCCACACGCCGCAGGGCTACCTGAAGGCATCCCTCGCTGTGGCTGATCTGGCGGTGGGGATATTCGTGGTGCCGCTGTCTGTCTACGCCGAGGTCTATCTCATGGTGACCGACTCGGCACCAGAATGGACTTCATACAACTCGCAGTCAGTGAGTTTCCACCCGTGCAACGTCATCGGCCCCATCTTTGCCGGGTGCACCTTGGTCTCCATCACAACCATTTTTCTGCTGACGATCGAGAGGAGCATTGCTGTGTTGCGGCCGTTGCACAAGGATTCTGTGATTACACGCAAAAGGACCACGATCCTCATCGTCCTCTCCTGGGTGGGGAGTTTCTTCTTGGCGGTGTCCCCGATGATTTTCAGCAGTGAGATCGCTCTGGAGTACAACTCCTGCAGTAGGATGTGTAATTACGCTCTGGGGACCATCGGCGAGTTCCCCAGCCAGGCCTGGAACATCCTCCTCCTCTTCCCTGCGTTTGACTTCACCCTCCTGGGTGGAACTGTGGTCATTAACATCATCTCTCTGTCCAGCATCAGGCAGCACTCGAAGCGCAGGAAACACCTGGCGGAGAGCGAGTGCCAAAGCACCACCAAACCTACTTTCTCTGACATCAAAGCAGCCAAAACAATAGGGACTCTGACTGTGGCATTTACAGCATCATTCACCCCTATCGCTGTCTTCGTGGTCGGGAACGTTTTGGGGAACAAATGGTGCAACTTTTCCTTTTTTGCCTTCTGGATTTTGGCCACCAACAGTTGCTGGAATGTCATAATTTACAGTGTGAGGGATCAGAAGTTCAGACTTCGTGCACACAAGCTCCTCATGCCTTTCCAGAGAAAAAACACAACCAAAACCTAAATCATTCAGGGACCAAAGACTACAGTTGAACCTGAGCAGGACTGCATCATTTAGATGTTTGTTTGTCACACAAACTCTTTGTTCAACACATTGTGAGTCTCGTTAAGAGACGCGTCTGCATGTTTGGTTGATTGCTGTGGTGAAATGTTATTTTTTTTTAATATACATTACTAAGCATGGAAAGTTTTCAGATGTTGGATATTAAATGTCCCTCTTTGTGGGCATTTGTCTTGTTCTGTCTAACATTGTGATTACAGAAGCCTGTTTCAGTGGAATGGTTGTTTTACCTGAGTGTAACCAATTAAAACATGTTACAAACCAAATATGTTTTCTGATTCCACAGTGTTCACTGATAGACTGATACTTGAGCACACTAGACAATATTCTGCACTTATAACATATTAATTATTATAGCATAGACCAATATAATAATTCTTCCTTGATCTGCAGGAAGTAAATTATTTAATTGTAAAGTTGCATCTAATTAAATTTTCAACAATATTCCTTCATATTCATCAGATTATGTTGTAAAATCATTCTTCTTTGAAGTGGTGTCACACAGTGTCAACCACTCTTTTTATACATACACATATACACACAATGACAGAGTGACAGAAAAAGGGGAAAGAGATAGGGGGCATGACACACAGCAAAGGGCCACAGGTCGGAGTCGAACCCATGGCCACTGCAGAAAGGACTCAGCTTTGGTACCTGAGGTGCCAGCTCCACCAGGTGAGCTATCTTGGTCCCAAACCATTTTATTTTGAATAATTGTACTCAGTTACATTCCACTGTTGCCAGAGGACAAAATGGCCAGTTCAAGTATATGTTAGAAGCTGTTTTTTTTCTTAAATTGGTGAAAATTATCTGCTGTCTCTGCTGAGAAGCGAGGCTGAGGGAATACAAGTCAGAGGAGGCACTGAGGGCAGATGGGTAACAAACAGCAGATGCATCACTCCAAGGTGCCATACCAAATGAACCTCACAGAAAGACACCATAAAAAACATACAAAATTAAACAAACTACTAACTAACTAACTAAAATCTAGGGAAATTAAAATAATGAGTTACAGTTAATGCCATGTTCTGGCTTATATTTCTCAATAAATATCAGAAGTTTAAGTCCACACAACCCAGTCAGCCATAGGTTTGCATGCCTTCCAGGAACAGTTCTGACCAGAAAATACTTTTCCAGCTCCAGGATTCTCAGCTACTCTGTTCAGTTTAAGCAATTTCATGGATCTGTGAAGATCACCTTCTCAGCTTCCCTAAAAATAGCAGCAGTCATGGTCAATATAATGATTTTTTGCAGAATGACATTAAAACTCAAAATGTATCTGTAGTTCTGGATATATACATATTCCACCTCAAACCTTCCTCCCACTAATACACCTGTTTTTCCCTCCTCACCTGTCATCTTCTGCTAACCTAGTGCATCTCCTGGATCACAAAGCCCCACATACCACACTGAGGTTAAATACAGAGAAATAAAGACAAAAAACAAAACAAAAAGACACAAGTTTACACAGATACATCCACATACAACAAAACTCCTGGTTTCCTGCAGGTATTTTTCCTAAAGAAAATTCCCTGGAAATTGGACAACTGTTACGATCCAGCACGCTAAACATTACAGATAGATGGGCATCAAAGGGAATTTAGAAGATGGTATACCAAATGGCTGAAATTTAAAAATAAGTGGGTATACTCTGTATACCTGTGTATACTGTTTACTACACCATTGGTAGGAGGATGGATGGCTCAAACACAGGACTTTAATCCAGGAAACTGCTGTCTATCTGAACCCAAAAGTGAACAATTTCTTTGAAGTAAAATACGTAAGTTACATTAGGTATGATACAAAAGTTATATTTTATTCATGTACTTAAGTTACGTCAGATGTGTAACGTAAATTACAGTATGTTTCGGACTTATATTGGGCAGAGACGGTGTGACATTTTACGCATGAATCACAAAGTCCTTTGTTCGTATCCCATCACATGTATGTTTTGCTAATGCAACATACATAACGTAACTTACCTATATAACCTCAGTGACCTAAGATAATGTAATTATTTTGGTCTCAGGTTTTCCTAAACCTAACCCAACTTGACCAAACAGCAACTGTTCCACAACATTAACCACGCAAGCTTTATTTTGAAACTCTATCTGGACATTGCATATTACGCGTCATATTTTGAAAGTGCTGAAACTGCAATATTCTCAGTCCACATAAAGACAAGGGCTGCTGTAGAGTAGGTACATCACAATTATCTCAAAAAGAAAATGAAAGTAAAAAAACTAAAATTTTTAAAAATATTATTAAACTGTAAATAGGTCAGAATGCAAATTTCTTATTTGGGTCAAAAAATTATAAATTAACAAACAGTATCCGACAGTATATTTCAACCTGTGACGTCTTAACCATCAGGAAGAGTCCTATGAACTCATCAAACAGAAGAAAGAAAACATGAACAATTACTGTGAAATGTATCGCTTCCTGCCACGTATACATCGACACTGGTGAGTCACAGAGTGGAGGAATGAAAAGGAACAAAGACTGAACCAGTAAAAAGGAAGATAAAAAGCAAAGAGAGCCGGCAGCGTCACAGTCCTTGACTTTAATATCAACAAAGCTCATTGACTGAGACTGAACTGATTTCCGAGACAGAAAGAGGAAGAGAGAGCGAGGCAGATGGAGAGAACAGAGTGTCAGTCCAAAACAAAATCACAATTGGCCTTTTCCCACAGATAGAACGGCAGGTTTGTGGCCAATACCAAACATGACATTTGGTTGGACAGCTCAACTGGAAATAGAAATGTTCTGATGGCGAAAACGCCGTGGCCTGCATTGCTGTCCCTGTGGGGTTATAAATATCCAGTGAAAGGTCTCAACTAATACTGGAAGAGTTTCCATTTAGTTTTGTACAGATGTTCATGTTCCTCAGCAGATGAATCCTCTGACTTCAGATTAACATTTCCATTCATGAGAAGACAAAAATTTAA